GTCAAGGCATTGGTGACTGGTCTGAGAATTGTTAGATCCCTTTAGGTGAACTCTATTCTCATCAAGGGGGACTCTAGGAGTGTTATTAATTGGGCCAAACATGCGGATAAGTCCTCTTGGAGGCTGGGTCACTTAATGAGATTTCTGAAATTTCTTCTCTCTTTTGTGGTTTTAGATGGATTCCAAGGGAGCTGAACTCAATTGCGGGCCTTTTTGCTAAATTTGGGGTGGATAGGAATTTTTTGTATAGTGCAAGCACTTTGCCCCCTTAAGTTGGGTGGTTTTTAATTGCTTTGTTTTGTTTGTGCTGTTTGTACATCCTCTCATGTACATCCCCCTCCACCTTTTTGCCTTCTTGAACAAAACAGCTACCTCTCAAAAAAATTAAAAAAAGAAAAAAAAACTATCATACTTGCACAACAACCTTTAACTGTTTCTGTTCAATTTCAGAAATATGGGCCAGTGTTGGCTATGTTGCTAGAACATCAACAGGTCCATTGGTTGTTGACATACACACTAAAAAAAATTGAGTGGGTATTTTGTTGGGAGTGTTGAAATTTGTCTGATGTTGTATACAAAATGGTGTTTATTGTTGAGTTTTGGTTCAAATTTTGACAAATGTATTACACTGCAACAATGTGGTTGTTGGTTTACTCCTAGCTTACATGTCAAGTTGTCATCAAACTTTGTGCCATCTGGCTGCTTAAAAATAATGTTCACTCCAGCTATTTTACATTTGCTTTCTCTTGTTGTCATCCTGGCCTAGATCCTACCAATCTCCATTTTGACAGCTCTCTGGTTCTACTGGCTACTTATCATATATGTATACATCAGCAGAGGGGAGATCACAACTCTTTTCCAGGAATTAAATTCTCTAATTTACTAGGTTCTGAGAGGTTGATCATTGAGCACCTACCTCACTGAGCTTGACTTTTCTGTAATAGTTGGTGGTTTCACAATCTGAGGGGAGAAAAGATGTATGTGTTCCCTTGCCACATCTGAAGGGGCATATCCTTGTGACCAAATATGGTGCCCAGAGAGCCCTATTTTATTCTGGGCAGTCATTTTCCCTACAGTAATATTTGACCTTATTCTTGTTTGATTTATGGTTTTGGGAGCTTTCATGCTTTGTCTTAGGATGTTTTCCCTTTCCATATAATTCTTCTATCTCTTCCTTGTTTTTCTTTAAATAAATAATTTTTGTTACTGGTCGTGAAGATAAAAATCTGAAAAAACCATGAACAGAGAAGTTGTTTATTGACATGAAAGAATATCATCTTTGGATAAGGAATATATTTGCATCATCTATTGTTTAACTGCTTGGTATGAAGTTTCTCTGTCATATAAATTTCGTGTTCAGGACAATTATAATAAGGGGTATAACAAATTCACCCTTCTATGGGGTGCTTCCCCGGCATTGACTTGGTTCCTCAGCTTGCTGTCATGGTGACTACTCTATGCCTAGAATTATATTATTATATTGCTATAATCTCTTTGATGGGAAGTTTTTGTGCCTTTAGGTATATGAGCGCATAAAAGCCCCTCTGCTTACCCTAGTGAGCTCTGGAAGTCAAGAACTATCTTATGCAGTATTAAGCCACCTGCATCTCTTGGTGATGCGTGCACCTATTCTATTTTCTTCAGACTACAAACACTTCTATTGCCAGTACAATGAACCATCTTATGTTAAGAAACTGAAACTTGAAATGCTGACTGCAGTGGCAAATGAGAGCAATACATATGAAATTGGTAACTGGACCATTTCAATCTATGCTATAAATTTTCTTTTCTATCCTTCCTCTTTGGTGATTCCTTCTTTGGTCATAAGCATTGTTCTTTTTCAAATCCATTATTCTTTATTGATAGATTTTCATGTATGCCTGTTGCATGGTCTGATTGAATCCATTTCAGTGACGGAATTATGCGAATATGTTGCAAACATTGATGTGTCCATTGCAAGAGAGTCAATTCACGCTGTTGGGAAAATTGCACTTCAGCAGTATGATGTGAATGCAATTGTTGACAGGCTTCTTCAGTTTCTAGAGATGGAGAAAGACTATGTGACTGCAGAAACTCTGGTAATTATTTTGTTCTTTTCTCTGCTAGTTGGATAGGCTTTCAATGTGGAAAATATTATCTCATTTTGAAGCTTTGAAGAGAAAAAAGTATAATGTCATAGATGTTTATGCGATTTTCAAACATACGGTTTTTCAGTTTCATATGATCTTGTTTACTTTCTTATGGAATTTTCTTATTCAGGTACTTGTGAAAGATCTTTTGAGGAAATATCCTCAATGGAGTCATGATTGCATTGCAGTTGTTGGGAATATCAGCAGTAAAAATGTTCAAGAACCAAAGGCGAAGGCAGCTCTCATATGGATGTTGGGGGAATATTCTTTGGACATGTCTGATGCTCCATATATTTTGGAAAGTCTTGTTGAAAACTGGGAAGATGAGCATTCTGCAGAGGTAATTGAGTTGTTGTCAGAGAAAAAGTTGTTTTTTATAGTCAAGAAAGAAAAAAATGAATTAGAAAAGAAAATACACAAAGATGAGACAGTCCGGAGTCCAGAACGGAAGCCTTTGAAGTCCCTGAAACAAAGGAAGACTACACAAAGAAGGTAATGATAAGCCCTTGGTATACGAAAAAAAAAAGAAATGCAGAACCAGACCCCCAGCTACATTGCACACCAGGGAACACCTACACAGTACACAGCTCTCTTCCTCCCCTGCCACAACCATTATTACTCTTTGAAGACCTAGATACGGCCATAGGCGCCACAACTAAATTCTGATACAAGTCCAAAACCTTCTCAGGTCTTCTCTTTTTGTCACATGACCTACTTATTTCATATTTTTCCATGTTTTTAGCATATTTTAATGTAGATTAAAATTGGTTCTAGCTGCCTTTATGACTGTTATAGTTCATATCGGCATAATGGATTCAGACAAGTCCATTCACTGATAAATACTGATGAATTTTGTGAAACTGACAACTGTTGAAACAAAAACTATTTCAACCAAATGTTTATTTCTTAACAGCTGTTCAAACCAATCATGTTGGATATACCAGAGTAATTTGTCTGAACATGTTGTGTTAGTTGCTTTTCTTTGTTAAAGAGTGCATATATTACTAGTTTGTTGAAGTTCAGTTTCTATATTATGCTAATTGTTTACACATACTCTTTTATTCCAAGAGAGAAAAGTGAACTTTGGGAACTCTTATAGAATGGTACCTATTTTGAAAAAGGAAAGGAAAAGTTGAAAATATAACAAGTATATATTATTAGCATTTGATATTTTTCTTGATAGCATCTGGTGCCCTGATTTGGTTGTCAGCATCAATAAAACTGATTGCCAAACAACCTGTACTAAAATCATGGCCCAATTAGTTGCATCTCAATGAACCCAAAATTGAATAGTCTTAGGCCTATTACTTGCATCTTCAATTTTCTATTTAAAAACATGCCTAAACTCCCTAATTTTCATCTCTGAAAAGCTTCTTCAATTTTCCGTTCAACAGTGATCATGTGGTTTGAACATAATTTAAGAGTCTCCTTGCCAAAATGTGGATTTTTTTTTTGAAGATAAATAAAAAAGTAAATTCATTAAGAATAAGACCGGAAGAATTACAACAGGAGTGATAAGAAATCTCCCCCAGAAAGAAAATTCAAACACCCCCAGCGTACACCCATACAACGAAAAAACCCTCAAGTCTCCAAGAAAAGAAGAAAATACTTGATAACGACATTGAAACAAGAAGAACAAACAGCCCCTCCTATAGATGCTTCTTTCTTCTTCCAGAGTTGGCCTCCATTTTCTTCAAGTTCTCTAGAAACCTTCCTAGAAAATTTTGTAGAGAACACTGATGTGGGCCCCACAGCAGTGGTCCCCACTGTGTTCGTAGGACAGCATGTGTAGTTATTTGTTTCAGTTATAGTAGTGTCAGTTTGGGTCAGTTTGTTAATTCAGTTGTTATT